ATCTTCTGTTATTTTTTGGGTTTTAGGTTGATCAGTTTGAGTCTGAGGTTCAATTTGTAGTTTTGTAAAAATGTCTTTGGCTTTCACTCCTGAAACGATTAGCTCTGTTGCTTCACAGATTTTTTCAAGGATAAGTTTGTAATTAAGTTGTGGATAGGATTCATCCATTTCCATGGTGATTAAAGATCATCCTTTAGTGGAGGCTATGTTTAGTAAGACTCAGCTATTGTCCACCTCCACAATTTGTAAGAATTATTATCACCACAGCTGTTATTACGTCTTATCTTTTTTGATAGTATGAAGGACAAATCAAAGTAGTCAACAAGCACAATTGAAAAAAAAATCCAGTTGCTATGCCAAATTTTGCCACAAGATGTCCGCAACAGACCACAAAATCTTTTCCCAAATGCCAAATAGCCTCTTATTCAGTTAAAACACAAAAAAAGCCTATATTTTGCAAAGTTAATAGTTAAAGAAGTTAAAAAAGATAGTAAGATAGTATAATATAAAGTTTTGGGTCCCCAAGGTATCCACAAAACAAAGATCCAATTATTTGGTTGTTGAAGTTAGTAGTTCTTTCCTTTTCTTTCCAAGCTGTAAAATCCCATGTATGCAAATACTGCTGAAATGAGAGCGGGGGAACGAATTTCAAAAAGCTTTCACAGGAAGGTAATTAGAGAAAAAGAAAGGTAAAAAAGGATTTCACCCAAATCCTCCACTCCTGCTTCATATGCTTAGCTGTTATTGGGACTTTTGGCTGGTGCAACTAGGTGATCGGCCATGTTAATGGCCAATCTTTTCTTCGTCGGTCCTAGGGAGCTGCCTCAGATCAAACGGAAGGGCTACCGCCCTTCTGTGATCTTGCAAGGGTCCTCCCCAACGGTGGTCATCCCTCCAGGGCGATTTTCAACCCTTTCCAGGGTCTTCTGACAAAGGAAAACCAGACGGCAGGGAGAAGCTTCCCCCTGCGCGTCCAAAGGCATCGCGTCCAGAAACGGAAGTCTATATTTAAAGAAGTTTTGACGAATGTGTTTTTTTTTAAAAAAAAAAGTCACTGCCATTGGCTTCAAGATAGCAGTTCTTTAGTATGGCTAATATATTTTTCTTCAACAAAGGCCAAGATAATATACACAATGCTTATTAATCACCTATCACTACCTGAAATAGCCAACAACTAGACCCAGCATTGAATACAGAATTACAAAATATATCTTTTTTCTATCATCGAAAACATTATATTGTGATTTGCACTAAATAATAATTTCAGTTACCCATGTGCAGCTAGTTCTTATTATTTTACATTTTTCTTTGGGCTGAGGAGAAGATTGCTCCAACAATGGCAAACATTTATTCTTGAGAAAGGTAAGTATTAATGAGATTAAGTTGGCTAATGTTGTTTCCTCAGAAGAAGACCAATGTGTTTTGGGAAAGCAGACTTGATCTCAGATGACAGCACATACTTCTGCTAATTAATACAATCCTGCAATACTATCAACCAGTCTGGTAGTGATGATGCCAAATGCCAAATCTTAAAACTTGGAAGGAATTTGAAAAGAACTGAACAAAGATGATCCATTTTTTAGAAAGAGATATTAGAACAAGGAATTTGAAAGGAATGAAATACATCCGCTTTGATGCTACCAAAGGTTCTGATTCTTTGTCAATTACTACTATTACTATTAAACAAATGGTGCAAGTCAAGAACTACCTATGTTATGTAATGGCAACACCGAATATAAATCTGCTTAAAATAATCTTGATCCAGGTGCCCAATAGATCTGGGTGCTGTTCTGAATATGCCCGGACATGTTACCTGATTTGTTCTCCCTTTTCCTGTTTGCCTTCAGCAGCTCCATTTTTGTCAATGCCCCAATACAGGTAATCCCATCAGGGTGAGCAACTTTGACACTAAGCATAAAATGAAGTCACATGACTGTGCCTAACTTATGGTGTCATTTCTTCAGTTTCTGCTGCGGTTATTAAGCAAATCACTACAGGCCATTAAGTGTGATATGTAGTAATAACTTCCTGTTGGTTTTCTTGCTGACTTCTCAGAAGCTGACTTTTCACCTTAAGAATGTGAATTTTAGCAAGATAATGACACTTCTAAGGGAAGGATATTTGCATTAAATGGTAATTCCTTCTGACAAATAAGTAAATATTTGTAGCAATCTCCTTCATTCTTACTTGGAGGAAAAGCCATTAATCTTAGCCATGAACAGTATTATGGACATTCCCACATCCAACTTTATTCTTTTCTTTGTCATACTGCAAATGACTCAAAATGCTTTACAGAATAATAGGAACAAAACTATCAAATAATTACAAAAGTACCAAAGGCCCTTGGGAACAATTTGTTCAAATGGTTTTGCAAAAGGCAAGCAAGTTGCAGACTGCAACTATTTATGCTTTTCTTTTATCAATGTTTTTGTATTTAATTTCATACTAAAATTTCCCCCCTTAACTATGCATTTTCTTTACTCTTCCCATGTTTCCTATTTGTCCTGTCTCTGCCCTCCTCATCCTTGATCCTTCTATATTAGTAAAATATTCAAGCATTGGAAATTGATCATGATCAAATATTAATCAATCGCAGTATAGCTCGAGTAAAAAACAAGTGATGCTTTTCAGTGGAAAATATTCTGGGCAGCAGTTAACTTTCTAGGTTGCAATTACCCCGTTGTAATCCTAGTTAGCCATACTGTATAAATGAATGATAATAGGATGGGACAACTTGGACCTAAAGGGTTTTACTGCATGATGCCCATGTCTCAGCAACCAAGGTAACTATCAGGAAGTTTTCATATATGTTGGGTAAAAGAAGCCTAGGGTTGAAAGGAAAGCTATATGTCGGTTGGCAAAAGCACTGGGAATTCTTTTTCATGTTTAAAACTAGAGCCAAGGAACTCCCACCAGAAATGTGGACTTCTGTCAGCATTTTCCCCATCCCCCACCATGATCCCATTTTCTAATTAATACTCTTAAATCAGCAGACATGGCTTGAAGGCAAATAGTCCTCAAGTAAGATCAATGCTGGTTTGAATCTTTTAAGCCAAAAGGAAAGGATAGTTTAACATAAAAAATACACTCAGACAATTTCTCTGATGATAAATGTAAAAGAAAGCAATTAAAACTTAAGACTTTGGTATAAACTGGAATTACCAGTTCACGTTTGTCCTGTTACTGTTGATAAACCCAGTCAAATGTTGGAATAATCTAATGTTTGCGTGCTATCTTGCAAACTCTGCCTCTTGTTGCTGCTATGATGTGATGCAAATGTAATGGATAGACACTGTGGTATCACAACATATTTCATTATATTTGTGTCACTGTTGGGCTGTTGGAATACCTGTGTTAGTAACAATCATGCTAAAGAATCTCACCTTTTTGCCCCCTCCTCATCCTAAGAAGACAAAATAAAAAACATGTTTTCCCTGTCTGATATAATATTGATGATTTCCCAAATTCTGAAATCAGCATTTGGTTTTGGTTTTTTTACAGCAATTTATGCATCACCTTAATAGTGAGATTGGTAGCATATAAATTCAATAAATAAATAATTTCCTAAATTCCTTACTCACTCAAATTATAAAAATGCTCGTATACTACTCAGTTAAGTCACAAGAGAAGAAATCAATTCCTGCTCAGTTGGGTAAATGCTGTGTCTCTTCCCATTTTCCCATTCCCAAAAGAAGCTAAGCCATCTTTTATCATACCAACCCAACAAATACTTTTTTCTCCCACTCAATTTCTCTCTCAATTAAAAATCTGAGCCACATTATTTTATTTTCCAAAAATAAGCTGAATCTCACAACTTGTTCAAGTGCTTCATCTAACATATCTGAGAATATGCACAATACATTTCTTCTTAATTGCAATTTCTCTGTAGTAGCAAGACTGAACACTTGTCCTTTGCTATGGCAGATTTTAATTTGCATCTTTTAGTTCTCTTTTTCTGCTCTTTACATAGCTATATCATTCAATCCATTGCTTCCCCTGTACTTTGAACTGTTTTATCTCTGCCACTGGGAACATTACATTTTCCCATAGTTAAACCCGTGTAACTACTGAATATCAAGGCAGTGTGTGATTACCTTGAATGCCATAACTGTTGACTATTATTTAAAAGAGTTATTAGTATATTATTTTGGACTTACCAAAAACCTAAGCCTATTTGATAACCTATAGCATTGATGGTTTTGACAGAATTGGTTCTGAAGGTGACCATGGTTCTTAACAGGCAATTATCTCACATCATTTGTTGGTAAATTTGTCCATGTCCAACTAAATTGTTGAATATGAAGACAGCCTGAGCAGTTGGCTCTGTTGTTCCTAAACCTTCTCTTTACTCCCTCAATGCCAAATCGGGCTGTTGGTTTCCAAGAGACAGAGAGTGATGATGGATGTCAACTGGAATACATGTAGGTTTGGAAGGATATTATGATACAGCAATGTCCATTTGAACTTTGATGCAAAGCAGGGATTCATCCTATGCAGTCAAGATGCTGGAGGGAGGGAGCTAAAACCTAACCCTGAGAGGCTCACTGTGAGAATTTTCATTCTTTTCAAACCAATCAATTGGATCCATTCTGACTGTACTCCAGCTACCTGGCCCATATCTATAGAGGTTGCTTAGCTACAGGTAGATTTTATTGTGCTGGATTTGTGAATTGGCATGTCGGCATTTAAATCATACTTCTGGTTTAGATCAAAAGGCCCTCTCTCAACCTAACTTACTTCATAGTGGTATTTATGGGATAAAACTGAGAGAAGATGGATTTAGCCACGTCCATGGTATTTCACTCTAAATATGTGGAGAAAAAAAAGATACAAATACAAATCTTAATAATAGTTACCATTTGGAAAAAGGGATGAGAGGCATAATGCTTGGAAATCATGTTTAACTTAGGCTTATAGATGTTCTCCTACTGTCCTAACAGAACAGAAAGATATTTACATTTTTTCTCATAATTGTAGTGGAAAGAGAGTCTACACATACATTCTTCTTTGAGGAGCTTTAATGTGCTCCCCTCCATGAGAAGTCAGACTATACAACGGACTCAAAGTTAGAAGACACAAACAAATCTTCAGTGATGTCCCTTATTTTTTTCTGGAGGGAAAAAGGTATATTCAACTGCAAGTGCCACGACAAAGGCGGCAAACCCCCATTTGAATCCTTTGGTCATTGCGTCCAGGAAAGTGGCTGGTTTTGCAAAGCCACCTGAGAATCTCCATGCTTCATTGCTAGAGAAAAAAACAGACATAAGAGGAAAAATTACACAATTTTGCAACTTTACCTTTTAGCCCACAGTTTAACTTACAATGCAGAATTTTCAATACAGAATTAAGTATCCCTAAAAATTAAATAAGTTATTGGAATTTGATATACCCTTCTTGTATCTAGATTGGTGGGAGCTTCTCGGTGGGAGCTCCCACCCTCTGGAACGAACTACCCCCAGAGATCCGGGTGATCCCGGATCTCCCTTCCTTCCGCCGCGCCCTTAAGACATGGCTCTTCCAACAAGCGGGACTGGCCTAGGGGGAATTTTTAGTGGGGTTTTAAGAATAATTTTAAATTGACACAGGCCACATCAAATATTTCATTTTAATTAGG